ATCCCAGCTTCATTCTCTACCTACTAGCCCATATTCTAGCCACACCCCACAGTCCTCAGCTCCCCACATGCAGTGGGCCCCTCGTACCCCTGTGCTTGTCAGCTGCTCAGCTCTGAGCCTGGGGATTATTCTGTCTAACCACCAAGGCTGCAGCTCAAACGTGGCCTCCAACTGTGGCAGGTAACTGTGCCCCATGCTTTCCTCAGACCTCTATTTAACACACATCTCACAGCATGATCGCCGTCTACACTCCCATTTTCCTGCTTTCTCAGCTAGACTAGAAGCTTCTCAAGGGCTAGGAATGACTCATTATGGGACTTTCTACCAGCACTGTACACAGCAGTGGCTCTCTGTCAAAAAATGGCAAAAACCCTAATAAATTATTCAAATGCACATGAACTGAAGACAAGAGGGACTCAGCCAGGCCCACTGCTTTACAGCAGTTAAACTGGCCTGTCCAAGCTGAGGGCAGGATCCGAACAGCAGGCAGCTAATGCTGAAGTCCTCCAGGTTCCCCATAGGAGACTCACGTCATGGGGGTATCGGGACCTGCGTGCTAACCGCGGTCTTCCCCACGTGGCATATGCTCCTCCTCTGCCACCTTTCCAGGTCCCTAAGCACAGAGACAACCTCGCCTGGAGTCACAAGCCCTGGAGGAGCAAAGAGGCAGGACAGGGTCACTGTTTCCTTCCTTCCTTTCCTTAAAAGCAGCAGAGGAGAGAGGAAACATTCACTTCCCTTCTGGACAAAACATTCCAGGAAACAGAAACGTTCCTCATATGTTTTTGCCTGAAAAAGTCAGTCAGTCTAAGGAGTGACTATAGTAAGAGATGGTTTTAAAAAACCACAAACCAGGTACACAAATTAAGTTTCACAAAGAAAAAAAATCATAATGTGATGGCTAAGCTGATAACTTTTTAAGAGTTAGCAGAGCAGGCTCCTAGAATGTGACCTTGCACCAGCTCACTCTGTGACCTTCTCTGGCCTCAACGTTCCCATCTGTAAAATGGAAACACTGGACTAGACATTTTCTGAGGTTCTTCACAGCTCCACCGTGCCTTGAAATCATTAACGTTAAACCTGGGAAGTCTGGATCATACTTTGTCAAAGCACACGAGGTTTATTTGCCCACACATGTTGATTCTCTGTGGGGAGATACAGAAGATTTTCTTTTTCTTCAGTCTCTTCTGAGCATACACGTTGCCTATGGTCAGGGCAGCCGGCAGCACTGGAGGGACAGTCGTGGTGAGGAGGATCAGGGCCATGGTCGCAGTATCTTTTGGAGGGACCTGGGAGAGGAGAGGCATTTTCATACAGGAGAGCACAGCACAGGAGACTGGCACCCTTCCTAGCACCCTGCTCCTACAACACCGTGCGAGCTCGAGAGACATGCTCTGAATCTGAACAGTGAGTTGGCTCTCCTGGTGAGGCTGAGGATTCTCTTGGCTGTGCCAAAGGGACGAGCACATTGTCTCCTACTGCAGAGCAAAGGAGACCTTTGATCCCGACTCCCAGTCCACCATCCCCTGTCCTGGCTCTGTTTCCCTCTACTTAGCATTCCCTCTGCCCAAGCCTGACTGTTGGCTTATGAATCTCTCTGCCCCACTAGCCTACAAACTCCTTGGGTGGAGCAGCGATGGCTTATTCATCTTTGAATCTACCTTATCGATCTCCAGATCCAGAGCCTAGCATGAGATTTAGCACAGAGGCGGTGCTCAGTACATAGATTGAATGGATGGCAGTATAATTAAAAACTAGGACCAAGATCCTGCCAAGATCTCAGCATATATTATTAACTACGGAGAAGCCAATATAAAATTAGCTTGCTCTCACTGGATACTAATTCTGGAGCAGGAACTGTATTAGGCTACATATATTATTTAGTTGCTCTCTATAACAACCTTATGACGTAAATGCTATTATTTTCTCCATCTGTCAGGTAAGGAAACTGAGGTTTTAACAATTAAATAATTTTCCTAAGGCCACATACTAGGTAAATGACAAAAATCTGAATCCTATTCTGTCTGACTCCAGGGTACAAACCCATGACCAACGTGTTTTATTATCAAGTCAATTTTGTGAACTCAGGATCCCTGGCTGGTGATATGGTTTGGCTGTGTCCCGACCCAAACCTCATCTTGAATTGTAGCTCCCTTCATTCCCACCTGTCGTGAGAGGGACCCAGTGGGAGGTAACTGAATCATGGGGGCGGTTTCCCCCGTAATGAGCTTGTGATTCTGAATAAGTCTCATGAAATCTGACCGTTTATAAATGGGAGTTCCCCTGCACAAGCTCTCTTGCCTGCCACCATGGACGACATGTTCTGCTTCTCCTTTGCCTTCCAACCATGACTGTGAGACCTCCCCAGCCATGTGGAACTCTGAGTCCATTAAACCTCTTTATAAATTACCCAGTCTCAGGTGTGTCTTTATTAGCAGCGTGAAAATAGACTAATACGGCAGGTCTGCAGAGGAGGCTCACACAGTTAAGGTCGGGGATAAGGTCAAATCACAAGGTTGATTGATTGTTTCGTTTTCTTCACATGCTCTAGATATTAATGATTCTACCCTCTAGAACCTTACCTATGTTTTTGTTCAATTAACCATCATTTTAGCCATAAATACTTTTTTAATTATTGGAAACATGGGATTCAAGTTCAGTAGTAATGTCTGCTGGGGACATCTTTTGCCCAATATCAATTTATCACAACATTCATTACTCCCTCCTTTTCCCAACCACAGACACAGAAGAGTTTTGACCCAAGGACTCAGCCTTGTCTAACCCTGAACCAGTGCAGATAGAGGCAGCCAACAGAGCCACACGCTCTGACCCATAAGAAGGTGGGGTCTGGGATTTTTAGTCTTGTTGCCTCAGTGTGTATCGGATGTTAAGCTCTTCCCAGGAAACCTCGTTCTTAAATACTGCCAGGGCTTCCATGAGGTTTTTTCCTGCTTTTCTGCCCAGTGCTCCAGCTCCCCAGATTAAATTGGCATACTCCCTCAAATTCCAGCCCCAGTGACCTTGACATTCTGCCTAGCTCTTCATAGGCCCCATCGTGGGCCTCTCTTGACCCAGAAATGCTCCCTGGGAGCGATTTCAGATTGAAATAACTACTCAGCAGTTAAGTTTTGGCGTGAACATTGCCCTGAAATTCTTGTAACTATGTCTTTGCCCACCAATATTCACTTCCCATCTCTCTCTCTCTCTCTCTCTCTCTCACACACACACACACACACACGCATTGATGCCACCAATTTGGACATTGTAATTAAGCCACTCACACAGTTTTTCACCTGTTTGGATGTTTTATTCACAATTTTCTCTTCCTCCCCACCAGCTCACACTATTATGATCCCAGACTTTCTTATATAGAGACTGCGTGGTTCACAGCAACATCAGACTCTCAGGACCAGAAAGGACCTCAGAGGTCTTTAGTGACAATCGTTCCCTCCCTAGCCACCAAGCTATGATGAGGGGCATCCAAATGAAACCTAACACCCTGTAGCTTAAAGGGAGGTAGGTATCTCATGCGGTACCAGCTCCGTAAAAGTGGAAATTTCATTTCATTTCAGACCCTAACCGGAACACATGAGAAACCCACTGATTGCGTAGTGTTTTAGGTATTACCTAAACACTGGGGCCAAACTAGGCAAAATCTGCTATCTAAGAAGCTCTTTTGGACAGTAATGATTCATAGAATGATAGGATCAAGATGTAACCTAATCCAGCCCTCTGAGTTAGGTCAAGCTCTTTGCAGAAGCTATACTATTGAAAAGCCTTACCCCTAGTACTTACTCCATGGTACGCATATACCCCTAGGGCATAGAAAAAACCCATGACACCAAGGCAGGCCAGGAACACCATGAACTTGAAGGCATCGCTGTATAGTTTGAAGTTCAGAGGCCGGGGGTACAGGATGGATCTCACTAAGTCCCCTTTGGCTGTATTGTAACCTACATAAAGATAGTCATAGATCAAGTAAGGCTGCTTGATGGGTACTTGGTCTCCTAAAAATGGCTTTACTGTCTTTGAGGAAAAGTTTCCTCTAACCTGTTATCTAATCATTTTACAAGTATTCAGGTGGTTTTCATGATTTGTAACCATGAGCTTCCATGTAGGCCACAGGCTGAGCGATGCCCTAGTATCTAGTGCCTGCTAACTAGTTTGAACATTTTTAAAAACTTGATATTTTTAATTTTAAAAAATCAGCTAGAACAACTACTCATAAACCAAACTAAAGCATACAGGTATCGCAGTGTAAAGTGTATTTGCATCAGGTGGCAGAAACACAGGTCAGAGGTTAGAACAGAGAGCTGGGACCAGGTCACAGGAGGCCTTCATTGTGTCATGTCATGTAAAAGACTGGGACTCAGGAAGCGTTTGCAGAATCATCCAGATTTGGTGCCACATTTGGTATGGGAAACGAGAGGAGTTAGAGATGGTATTAAGAGACCAGCACGATGGTGATGATATTAACAGAGAAAGTCAATACAGGAGGATGAATACTTTCAGATTCATTTAATTTGTCTCTAGGGCACCCAGGTGGAGTTCTTTACTAGTGAGTTTGACCTATGGCCTAGCAAGCAACTCTGTGAAAGGAAAAAAATCCTCAGTCATAATGGCTGAAATTGTTTTTTGGTCATCACTCAGAGGAGGTGTCAAGGGAGACAGAAGCAGCATGTGGTCGCAAGCAAAAAGAAGAGCATAGTTTTACCTTTGACAAATTTTACTTCACCTACACATACCCTTCATTACATAGAAGGATTTTAACAATAAACCATTTAATTAAAAATAGTGACACTTTACAATAATAAGGGTCAGTTTAGAAAAAAGCATGTTGCTACCTACCAGAATGTGGCAAACTCCATAATCCTAAACTAAATTTCCCTAATCCAACTCTCCCCATATTCAAGCATGAATTAAGCATACGAAAGTGAAATCCACTAACCTGTTTGCAAAACGACTGCTCTTACAGGCCCCTGCCCAGAGGGCTTGACCTGGATAACTTCTGTTCCACAGAAGAGGACGTGTTTCCGATAATCCTCCAAACTGTGACATTTCCAAGGCATGGTGTTCTCCATCTGGGGCAACGGTGTCTTTGTAACAGGTATACTTTCTCCTAAAGAGGATTGTATTTTGTTGAATCTATGAAAGCTCAGGTAGTTAGTTAGAACTGGTGCATACCGGTTTCAAGAAATGATACAAACTACAACTAATCAGGTCTTAATGCCCATCCCATGAGTCAGATGACTGTTCATAGAGATGCTGGTGGTACAAGCAATGGTAGACTTGATTTTATTGCAAATATTTAGATTAGATCTGCCTACTATCCGATACCTGGCCTGCATGGTTTGTTGTCACAATTTTAAAGGCAGCTTCTTTTAGCTGAATTAATACTTAATCATTCTCCCAAGAATTCATTCAGCCCAGCACTACTTTAGGCAATGAAGGAGCTTTCCAGCACGTGAACAGTAATCACTGTTTGCTTTGCATTCACTCATTTCTTCATTTCTTCATTTGTTCAGTCATTCATTCAACTATTTTTAGGTGCTTATTCTGTTTCAGGAACTGTGCTAGGTGCTAGGAATAATGATGAACAACAAGAGAGACAGAAATCTTGCCCTCATAAGCTCATGGAGCAAGGTGAGAAAATAGTAGTTATTCCACATCATTTTCAGATGGAGCCCATCCAAGCCCCACTTTTATTATCCCATTCTTTTGCTCAAAATCCTTAGGCTTTTCCATTGCCACTACTGAAGAAAGCCCAAACTGTCCTGCTAAATTGTCAAAGCCTACCACGATTCAAACATCATTGCCTGTCATTCCCCTGCACAAACTCCAGCTCAACTAGGCCACTTGCATTTCCTTTCATTGACCCCCATTCTTTGCAGGTAGCAATTTTTTTTTTCCTTTCCCTGGTGGCTATAAGACAGAATATTTAAGGTACAAAGAAATGAGCTCAGTGTTCAAAAAGGATACATGTCAGAGACAAAATAAAGATGTTCATAATACTTTTTGGCTCCCAGATTTAATATTAGAATGAATTTAAAATTCCATCAGTCTTTTACTAAATGTTCAATTAGCAAGATAACTTGTCATATTTCTAATTTGGAAATAGTATTATATCAATCATAGTTACATAAATTTAGGTCTTGTCTCTCTTTCTAGGTAATAACTGGGAACAAGAACTTTGACAGATATAAATTGGTATACTCTTTGTTTTCCTAGTGATATGTAATAGGTTCAAAATACATAGTTTTTTCAAATGCACAAATTAAATAAAAACACCCAAGTTTGTCTATGATTGGTTTTTCAAAATTCATTTTCTGCCATGATGTATTTTTTACACGCTAAGGTGCAAAAAGCTATAAAATTGTTACTAGCAATCTTGAATATTTTTCAAAAAATTATTTTAGCCAAGTATTGTTCCCTATACCATTTTCTTTAAAACAATTATGATATTCATCCATTGTGTAGATTTATCGATTGTATTCTAAATGGCTTCATAGAAGGGTTAGAATGTTTTGACCAATCTCCAAATTATGGTATATTATTTTGAAAGCAGCCTTTGTAACAGGCAAATACTTACAGATCATTTCCTTTTTTTGGCTTTTGAATCACAGAATATTAATCCACAATATATACTTAGGCTAACATCAGTAAACCGTTTTCTACACACAAAACCAGTGAAACTGGAGGCAGTCACGTATTGATCAATCAGAAATGGAAGTCATTTGCAGATAATTTGCTCCAGAGACAACAGTCAGATGATTTTACAGAAAGATGGTTTTCAAGTCTCTTTTATGCTATTGGCATGTTAATAAGAAGTCTCATGTTTTGGCCTTTCTGGGGAGCCCAAGAAAGGATGATTCATCTACAAAAGATGTGGGGTGCAAGGCAGCCAAAGAGAGTTTTAGAGGGAAGAACTATCATCGCTCATCATCAACTGTACAGTTGGCTCCCTGCGCTGTCAAGTGGAGGTTCTCTCCCTTGTCCACAAGGATCAAGATGCCTCCACATGGTGACAGTGTTTGAAATTCCAAGTCCTTTTAATTTATAGCTCTAGAACCATTAGACTGTAAATGTTTTGAGACCAGAGACCATTTCTCATTTAACTTGTTGACACCAATATGCAACACAGTGCTTGGCACATGGTAGGCATTTCTGAGCTTTTATTGAATAAATGGATGAAAAAATAAGTAAAAGAAAAGGGAGAAGGAGGATGATAAAAAGAGAAGAAGAAAGGATCAAAGGAAGAGAGAAAAAGATTGGACCTTAACTGATGATAAGCTTGTGTGACAGAATATCAACGTGAGATCATCACATAGGGAAATCCCTGCATGTCCAACTCAGGTCACTGCACACCTCCCCCACATACATCTCAAATCAATCAGCAACTTAATGAAGAGAAGAAGAGTGAAGGGGATTGTGTCAGAGTGCATGCCACCCCTCTTCGCCATAATTATCCCTAAGAGAATGAGGAAACACTGATTACAAGCATAGGTTCTGGGGACAAAACGCCTGTATTTAAGGCATTAAATTTATTTATTAAGACAATAGATATCTTCTATTTTCTTCATATAACTTATAACTGTTGAAAATTCCGTGTCATTTGTATACTTTCATGTTTTCTGTCTCTGTCACTAGAATATCAGCTCCATGAGGGCAGAAATCTTATCTGCCTTGTTCACCTCTATGTCACCTGTAGAGTTCCTGCTCCATAGTCGGGGCTAATAAATTTCTGTAGAATGAGCGAATTCACAAACAAATCCAAATCTTAGCTGTGCCACTTTTAAGCTGTGTGACCTTAGGTAAATTACTTACCCTTTCTGGGCCTCAGATTTGCCCATTCTAATAGAGTTGCCGATTGAATGAAATAGTATATGTAAAATGTTAGCACAATGCCTAATACACATGAGAGCTAAGGAAAAAAGCTATAGTGCTAAGAGATAATTTCTAAATATTAATCAACACCCCTCCCAATGAGATTCCCTGTTGTCTCCAGAGTCTTCCTATTTGAGAGGAGCTAGATTTTGAAGGTGATCATTGTTTCAGGAAAGATGGCAGAAGAAAAGGACGGGGAAGTTGATCACTGGCTTTTGAGTTTTTTAAGTCCTTCATGAGTTTGATCATGGATTGTAGAGACTACCTGAGATTAAGAACAAAGTTCTTCTGCTCACCACACCTTTCCTCTACTGCATTTCTAGCTAAACCAAAGTCCTTGTACTGGGAGTTGGAAGATAATCCAAAGGGACTCAGACGTTGTGTGTCCCTGAGAGAAGAGGCGTGCACCACAGTAGAACATGGGAACATGCAATAAGGTTATGGAAACAGCGTAAACGGCACCAGGATCTGCCTCCCTGTCCAGGTAAATAGGCCTCAGACAGCTCAGAGTGGAGTGGGAGCAGCAGGAAGAAGAGCTGCCCTCAATCGGACCCCTCTCCCTGATGTCTTGCACATCTTAGGACAGTCAGACAAGGGTGAGGAAGACCACCTAACTGATGGGGACAACTGTCTGACTCATATTAGATATTCACACTGGACACTTTTAAGGATGGCAAAATTTGGAGCCAACATAAAAATTAAGTGTAGTTATAAAATAAAGGTAAACTTCTTGCACAGCTGAATTTATGACAATAGCATAAGGCTAAGGAGACCAGGAGGGGAAGATCTTACCAAAAAGGGAGTACTATTGATGGGAATACCAAGTAGAGAGAAAAAGGTGATGAGGCAGGAAGGTGAAGCAGCTTCATCCAGCTTAGAATTATCTTTCTCATGCCTACGGTCCTTTACATTTGGGAGCAAATACCACCTCCAATTCTGATCCTTCCACTTGCTAGCTGAATATCTCTGGTCTTTTTACCTCACTCTCCTCATTTGTGGTATCCTAACAGCTCCTAGTCTAATTTGTTTTATGTCATGATGAAGTGAGACATAAAAGTTATTTATAAAATGTAAGTTGCTATAGAGATGCTAGGAATGATATTTTTATTCTTACATAAATAAAGACTTCTATCTATGCAAAGGACCATTTCGTACATAGGGAAGAAATACCTGAGTCATATTTGTGGACAAATTCCCTAGGAATACATTTTCAGTTTCAGGAATCTTACCTTAATCTTCTGATTGTTTAATCAAGATCCTTTCCACAAATATGTACATGAGTGGGAGGATCTATGTAGGCTGTGCAGTAAAGTATTTAGACCATACTGGGATTTAGATCTTTCTGAATAAGTTAACAAAAAAGAAATAATGTATTTTTGCTTCATGTGTCTGTCTCTGAAACTGGACTCTATCAGTACTTAAGTTACACAGATATTAGTGCTGATGACTTCATTTTTCCAAAAAGGGAAACTAGAAGAAGCCACTTCTCATTTAAGGCCATTTTGGGTCCATTTTGCACATTTGTTGAAAGGCAGCGTTGTTTGTCATTTCTACTTCTCTGGAACTCTCTGAGTTTTCCTGGGAATCGAGGCAAGTTCTGTACACCCCTGACAGTGAAAGCAGAGAGGGCAGCCCAAGGGCAATGAGACTTTCTGTGTTTCCTCCCCATGTTTGCTCACTGCCACACACTCTGTTACCAATGAGAGAAGCCATTCTTCATTGTCAGGCTGCTGGGAGGCGTGAGGCAGCGGCTGTGTTGGAGTGAGGAGGACAGTTTTCCTTGGGCTTGAGGTTTATAGGTTGGATACTATGGCAACATTCTGGGTAAAAGATATGATCAGTATGCAAATCCTCATCACTATCATTATAGGACGCATTTCAACACATTAAAGGAGTATTTTGTAATTATTCTGAACATATTGATGTTTACTACATTTTCTTATCTCAATTTTGAGTTAAGCAGACCAATTTTAATGTAAAAGCTGCTTGTGTTGAACAATTTAGGGATAGATAATGAACTCTTACTACATTTAAGTCATGTTAAAACATTTTCCCTATCTTTATACCATTTGGAAATGGAAAAACTGAACAGTCTGTAAGCGTGAAAGACAAATAGTTTGTGTTTTTGTGTTGCTGTATAGTCTCTTCTCTCATTACAATGTGTTGTGTATTTTAATTTTTTGCCTAAAGAATATTTTATAAGTAGTGTCTTACTAATTACACAAATTCAAGTAGACTTAACAAAGTACAGATGAGAACTAGGACTGCCTGAACTATAACTAGAAGATGAGTTTCTGCTCAGTAAGATCAACAGGAATATAAATCTAAAGAACAGAAATGTGAGATTGTCTTTGCCCGAAGGTTCAACTCAGACTCCTTTCCAGTGAAACCCTGGCCTCAGTAGTTTTCTATCTATAGAGTGCAGGGTTGGATAAAACCTCTATGCCCTTCCAACTGTGGGAGTCATGGTTTTCAAGGTTGTGTCTCTTTTGTACATGTGTATAAACCATTCTCACATTTATGAAGAGATTGTGTTTCAAACTGTGTAGTGCTCTCATCCTCTTCTGAACCCAAAGCACCCTATTCACCCCACTCATTGGTCAATTAATCACATGTCATAGTAAACATTTGTGTTCATTTCACATTTACTGTGACTTAATTCTTATATTGTTAAACATTTCCTGTTTGTGTATATCGCGTGTGTGTGTCCCCATATAAATGCAAAAGCTGGCTATGTCTCCCTCATCTATCTCTGAATATCTTAGCAAGGGTCTGGTATAAGGTAGGTAAGGATATGTTGATCTGATTCGATATCAGACAGAGAAGAGGAAGCTCCATGACAACTGCCTACCTGTAAGCATGCCTTCATTCACCACGCAGCTTCCATCAATCAAAACAGCATCACACGGCAATGAAAGTTTTCCTGGAAGAATAAGAATGTCTCCGGGAACCAAGAGACGGGATTCCAGCTCCTCCAAACCTACATCAAAGCAAAGTCTCCATGAATAGCTGACCTTTTCCTGTTTTTACTTAAGAATGAAAGCAACTAAGAATCCTTATCGACCTGTTGGCCAAGAGCTACCCTACCTGTTCAACTGTTGAAGCCCCTTTTTAGTCCATTGAAAATTCCAAAAGAATCAGGATTAGGAAATTGGTTCCTGGGACTCAGAAAAGGATTCGCTAAGCAGTAAGATCCCATCTTGATCCTAGTACCCGGTATGCTTTGCCCACAGCAGATACACAAGGACACTGGGCAAAGCAGAAGTGCAACTTCCTGCTGTTTGCTCTCATCTGGGTTTCTGATTCCTGTGGTACATTTGGTCTTCTTGGATTGAGGCCTTATGTAAATTGCCCAAATAACTTCTGCTGTCCCAGGGTGCAGCTCCTCACTCCTTACAAAAAGCTACGGCCACGCCACCTCTGGCTAGCTCACAGCAGATGCCAAGTGTCCAGACAGCTATCTAAAAGCCCCATTCAGGCCTAGGTTCCAGATGGCAGTTCAAATTGTGTGATGCAGGGTCTGTTTGGGATAGTTAGATTGGGAAACAAAGGAACCTTAAGAAGGTTTACCCAGTGTTATTCAAATGAGTGACATATGAAGGGGAGAGGGAAATTGAAGGAACCCAGACATTGGGTAAGAATGACTGAATAAGGGCTTGGGTGAGGATAAGGCAAGCAAGACGTCTAGTGTACAAAATTTAATGAGGCACTTGTTCTCAGGGCCCTGCAGCTGTGGGGTCAGCACTGGCATGATCTTGCCTCGTTAAATTTTCTATCTTAGAGGACTTCTTTGCCTCACCTCGTCCCAGTTCTGGGTTCAGTCAGAAAAGACTTTTTCTCTCTTGACTAATAATTAAGGACAAATGAGACCAATTCCCCCCTAACATGTCACTTACCTTTGTCTTTTACAATGATTGTAACCTGGACTTTGTTGTGGTCCTCCACGAGGTTATGCAGCTTAACTGATTGCTACCAAGTAAAAGTTAACATTTAAATATTAGATAGTTCATATTCTGAAAACCACATGTTCTCAACACAGTAAATACCAGGCCAGATGTCACAGCTAAAGTGACTCTGGGCAAAGGACTCAACTTCTTTTGATGCTTCAGCTTCCCTGCTCCAACCCCTACCTCATCTGACCTGCTACGTGCAGCAGCAAATATGCTCATTAGTTTAATGCTATCTCACTCCCCAAAAAAAATAATGCACAGCCACTGCCTCAAGGACCTAAGCCAAGGAACCTGTTAAAAGAAACTTTACGCAAATTAAACAGGAGTTTAATTGAGGAAGAAAAAAAAAGTAATTCATAAATCAGGCAGCCGCCAGAACCACAGCAGATTCAGAGAGACTCCAGGGATGCCTGATGCTCAGAATAAATTTGTAGAACAAAGAAGGGGAATGACTACAGAAATCAGAAGTGAGGTACAGAAACAACTGGACTGGTTACAGGTTGGCGTTTGCCTCATTTGAGCACTCAGCAGTATATGAATGGTGGAAGTATGGCTGCTGTAGGAGTCGCTGAAGATTGGCCAAGACTCAGGTATTGTTACAGACGCATACTCGTAAGTCAGGTTTTCAATCTTGTCTAACTATTACGTTAGGTTAAGGTTGGCCCACAAGGAGTCAAATACAGAAGTACGGAGTCCTTCTCAGGCCATATTTAGTTCACTTTAACAAACCAAAGCTACATTTCTTGAAGATGCACAATCAGAATGATGAAGAATGAGACTGCGAGCAGGTTACTTCCCTCTCTATGCCTCTGTCTCCCTGTCTGTAAAACAACAAAGCTAAATGTTCTCTGTAAGTGGCTTTCTGCTTGAAAGTGTCTGTGAATGTGTAGGTTGTGTTTTGATTGCATGTGGGACAGCCACCCTCTCCTTTATGAACTGTGGATTTTCATACTGGTTAAGTCAGCAGATGGCAGTTATGCTGTTCAGTTGTGAATCTTGTGCTATTGCTTATGAGTTATTTAGCCTGTTTAACTCCTTTTTGCTCATCAGAAAGGGGAGATTATAACAGAATATAACAGGGTTAAGTTTGAAGTGACTTTATTCTTATAGAGCCCTCTGGGTAGTACTCAATACTATGCTAAGAGCTCATGAATGTTAGTGATTCATAAGAAACTTGTTGGAAAAACAGTTGTGAGAGCACGTTAACTGGAAAGACTTGCTTGAGATAGTTTATTGAGTTAGGACTCTGTGAAAAGTGGAGAAAATGGAAGGAGCCTGGAGAAGTGGAGAAAGCATCTTATAGGATAACACAGGGGACAGAAAGGCAGAGGTGAGAGATGATTTCATCCATACAGTTCCCCAGACTGACTCCTGGGGCAACATCAGAGAGAGAAAGTTCCGTGCTGGGCCAGCCCTGGAAGGTACTGCCTCTTCCTGTTTGGATGTCGGCGGCTTGGATGCCTCGAACTAGAAGCGAGTTTGAACACTGTCAGCAATTCTTAATTCACTTTAGCCTAATTCACATATAAAACTTTTTTTCTTTTAGCTGTTACATTGTTTTGACCTGTTCTGTTGGTGATATTTACTGTTATAAATGTCACTAGGCTAAGACAAGCATTACACGTAATTATACAACTTTCCCCTTGAGAAAACATAATGAACCCAGTGTTAATATTTATATGGAAAAATGTATGATATACTTCAGTTTTGCATGAAAAGTTAAACTTTGGTAATCTGGACCGATTGAGTGGAAGAAGCGATAGTACTGTTTGGTGCACATTCATTGCTCTAAGGTGACTTCCTGAGGCTTAACGGTTGGGGCATGCATTTTAATGATGCGTAATAGTGGGAAGTCAGCTGTGGTTCTGTGGGCAAAGAACACTGGAGTCAGTCAGGATTTCTGAGTTGTAGGTCAGGCATACCCCCTAACCAGTCGGGTAACGTGTGTATATAAGAAATTGTGCCTTAGAATGTAGTCTTTTTCTCTGTAAGCAGACAACATTGAATTAGATCACTTTCAAGTTATACCTTCAAGCTCTAAAATGATATGACATTGATTTATTTTGCATGTCAGAGATTTATTTAAAACCTGCAAGGCAACATAGAAGAAATATACATGGTATATGAAATGGCTCAAATCTTTATTATTTTTAAATAGTTTAAAACATTAAGCAGTTATTATGTGCCAGGCATTGTTGTAGGCACTTGAACAACAGTATTTTTTTAATTCTCAAAATAATTCTGTGATGAAAATGTTATCTCCAACATACATGTAAAAGCCAAAAAAATGGGGTAGAAAATACTAAAGTAATTTTCTCACCATCATTTACTTACTAAGTAAATCAAACCTAGGTTCATCTGACTCTAAAGCCTTTTCTGTTGATGAATATGCTCTTCTAGTGCTTAAAAACAGCATTTTTTCCTTTAAGAAGATAAAATCCTTCTTCTAAATTTTTTTTTTTTTTTTTTTTTTTTTTTGCGTTGCAAACTCATTTAGATAATGCCATGATAAATTCAGCTTAGTATGAGAGGATGATAATCAACACATTTGGAAGTAGTGAAGTATGAGTTAACAATACTTGACTGTAATTCCCAAAACTCATTATGCTGTAGAGCTGGGCTGGTTTATTAGACTTAGCATTCTCTGTAACCTGTCATGCTTCCGTGCCTCTGCTCAAGCTAGTCCCTAGAATGTCCACTCCAGTTCTCTACCAGCAAACTTTCTAATCCTTCACGTAAAGGCCTACTCAAATGTCACCTCCACTCCGCAAGTCCCTACAATCCTCAGGAAGAATTCATTGTTCTGCTCTCTCCACCTGTGTGAGTGTACTGATCACATTCCATTACAGCTAACCGCTGTCTTGTCAGGCCTCCCTCGTGAGTCAGGCAGTAGAGAGAAGAAAGGCACCGTGTATATTCTGCATCTGTGGATTCCTCTAGAGCCTATCCCATAGTAGGTCCTTATCAAATATGTATTTATTAGAACCAAATTATTCTACTTCTCCCAACAACACTGGAGTGGGATAATGTTAGCCTCCTCTTTGAGTTAATGTACTCGGAAAATCTACAAACACGGGTTTCTATGGCAACCAACTAGCTAGGAGAAGGCAAACGCTGCAGTGCTTGCCATGACTGCAAAGCTCGTTGCCTGATTTTCATTAGGCCCCCTTTAGTTTCTTCTGTCCCTGTTCAGCAGTACCAGGATCAGTTTCTGAGATGAATTTGCATATTGTTATTATTCAGCATCTGTTGCTGTGTGTCCTTGTGTTTGCTGTGGCTGGATTCCCTCTAGAGATGAGTAATGAGGGTATTAACTCAGGTGCCTCTTGAGCTTGGCTCTGTCAGAACTGAAGGCAAAGCACTGTGGGCCAGATACTCCCAATGCTATTTCTAGCAGCCACCCGTGGAGCTCAGCAATACAGTATGCACATACAGTTCAATGTACATACAGTTGAGTACCAAGGTTTGCACTCATGCCTGCGTCAAACTTGTTAGAAAGGGACTGAAGCAGGAGGGTTTCTTGGCTTAGGAAAGGTAAGCTTTCTTTGTGTAGCATAATTTGGGGCCACGATGGATGCAGAAAAACATCTTATTCTACTCCTGCAAACACTTGCTCTCTTACAATTTTCCAAAGCCTGTGTTCGTTTACCTAAGTCTTTAATTCAGCGAAATAATGAACTTCAGTGTAGCTCAATAGAATGATATGGAGACAGCAATAGATGCTCCTTCTTTCAATCCTGCCAAAGCCCTTCCCCAAATCCTACTGCTGCAGGGGAATTCATGAGTCACTTTGAGATTGTGCTCAATGGGACAGTGTGTAGTACTTGACTTGGAATCAGAAAACCTGGGGCTAAGGCCTATGGCCACTGTTACTGGGTGAGTGTGAACAAGTCCCTTCACCTCCTGGATTATCCCTGTCCCTCCCTTTCAGGTAGCAGGAGGCTATAAAAATCATGTGTGTTTTATTTCCTAATTTGCCATGTCCCGTACAAATACATACATTATGAATATGGGTGCCTACTGTAAACTGTAAAGTGCTAAACAGATGTTGATGAATGAGGACTTGTGATTTAAATTGCAAATATACAGTTTCAGGAAACTGGTTCATTTTGTGGAGTGTTACAAGGTGCTTTACAGGTTGGGTTAGGTACCCTTTTATTAATAAATACTGGCTGCTAATGTGATTAGTGTTTGTCCTTAATTCCTTTTCTGTTTTTTAAAGAAATCCTTTGCAATACTGCCACCAAGTCTAAAGTTCCCGTATTAGCCACTGTTTTGAACAAAGGAATGTAGAGATTTTGTTAAGATGCGGAACCTGAAAGTTTAAATTCCAGGAAGGATTTTTAAATAAGCAAATTACAAGTAGTAGAAAACAGGTATTACCTAACTTTGGAAGGGGAGATCTTATAAGCAAAACAATAAACCATAAAGGAAAAGAAATATATTTGACTCTACGTAAATTTTCATCGATAGCTAAAGTCAAAGTCTAGAAAAATAGACTAAAAAGTAAAACTTTTTCACATATATGATGAATATAAAGAGGCCCTTAATATAAAATGAAAATGCAAAACACTATTAGACAAAAAAAGCGTCTAGTCTCACCAGCAATCAGGAAAATGTACATTAAAACATCAATGAGACCTAGTTTTTAAATACGTTAAATTTAAAAAAATTTAAATATCAATATAACTCCAGAAACTGATGAATCCGGGGAAAATAAATACTCTTGTATGTTTCTGATTTTAAAAAATTATTTCATTTGTGGAAAATAATATAGCAGCATCTATTAAAATTCAAAATATACATATGCCTTGATTCAGAAATCTGGCTTTTGGTTGCTATGCTAAAAAAAATGCAAACACTAATATGTAAGAACATCCCCATACTGTAGTAGTAACTTTTAATTCAACATTATTTGTGGTGGCAACAGATTGAGGGGAAATTACTTTCAACAAGTAACAGAACAGTGAAATAAATTATGATTATCATGAAATAGTATAGTATTATTTTAAAAACATGAATTATAATTATTTATTTACTTGAATTGCCATTATATATAAAGTAAAAAATGAAAGTTCCAGATTAATATGCATAGTAAGATCCTATTTTAATTTTAAAAATAAAGACATAAATCTCCATATAAGCTGGTATATATATGTATGTGCACTTTATAGAGTGAAATGAGTGAAAAATATGATGATGGCATTAATAAATAAATACATATATCTGGAATCTTGGTGTTTGAATTTATTCTTCAGTGGGTTCCCTTATAATAATCATTGTTAAGCTTTTAGAATGCATAACAATCATTAGTTATAAAACTTTTAGAAATGAAGATTCCAACCCTGGATATTTTGATTTAATAAGTCAGAAGCTCAAAAATGTCAGGGAATTCTCTTACAGAAACACTGTCTTATTGAGTATAGAATCAAACCTAATTTTTTCTACAACCCATCCCCTAACTCCCACACAGGAATTTCTGTATTTCTTTTGGATTTCCTTAAAGATATATTCAAATATCAAATGAAGACATAGGCATTTATAAAAGACTTCCAAGAGGGAGACCAAAATTTTTCAAAGACAATTAAATA